ACCTCCTATGTCACCTCTACAGAGGTGGAAGCTGACTTCATCAACATAAATTAAAACATGATGTGCCCAATTAGCTTTAAGCTCTATGATTGGCTAAAGAAAAAAGAAAGCAAAATCACAATTACATAAAAGTAACTGCAGTTGACAGTAAGTGCATTATATGCCAGGGCATAAAAGTATAGTACTGCAAATTCTCCGTATATTGATCTGCTTCACAGCATCATGCTCACAGTATACTTTACTAAATACGCCGAGATCTACAACGCTGCTGCCTGGATTTCAAGCAGCCTAATGACATTATTTACCTGAACCAATGGCTGCCGCCTCCTCAGCATTCAAAGTTCTGTGTCTAAAACCACCAACCTGTAGCCTTTCAGTCCTATAAAGAATACATAAAATGTGGAAAGAATTGCATGAGATACAGTATCTCACTACAGCTATATCTGCACATACTGTATAGCAACATTACCTGTTCTCCAGTCAAAAAACTTTCAATTGATCCAACCGTGTTTCTGTTGAGAAGAGGTTGGACTCTTTGTCTAGCCTCTTTAAGTGAAAGGCCATGATTTACTGTATCATCAAGCTACACCTCCAGTTCACACACAGACTTCTCTTTCCCTGACTCCTTTTCCCCTGAGCCCTCTACCTCTAACTCTGACTCTCATCTGTCTAGACAATCCATGCTTGCAAAGAAGAAAACAAAACATATCACCTTCAAAGCCATACAGACTGATTGGAAATAAAAAAAGTTGTGTTAAGAAGTGTAAAACAGCTTCAGTTATTTCATACCGATCAAGAAGTCTATGAGAGATGTGAAGATATGGTGTCTGTTTGGCTACCTTTGCTAAAGTAATGGAGTTTGGACTTCCTGAATGACATCTGTGTTAACTGTTTTCCAAAAGGGTGGGGAAAATGTGTCAAAGCAATGAGCAAGGGTGTTGTTTGCTCTGCTGAGATGGTGATGATGAAGACTGAGAGGTTGCCAGTTGCCAGAGGAGAGGAGAGGAGTTCAGATAAATCCCCTGCTTTCCACATTTGCTATTAGTGGCACTGTTGTTACAGAGTCATTAGAGTAAAGGCCAAGCAGTGGTGGATAGCTAACACGTCTTTGTACAGCGCCACAAGTAGCTGCCATCACAGGGGAGTAGGTTTTATCATGGCTAACCAGCTGCTGCCTGTCAATGAGGAAGGATTGTAAGTATTACATTAAATATGGATCAACCCACACTTGGTCAATTTAATAGAAAAAAATAATTAATTGTATTAGATTCAGATGAAAAATCTTTTATTATATCTAAAGTTTAAGGATTGAAGTAATAAAACTGCGCTTTTGCCAGTTGCAAGCAAAAGATTTGTGAAGATTTGTCTGCATTGTAAAAGACAGCATACTTTCTAACTAAACTATAATTGTTGACCATAACTGCAAATAATATGTACGGTAGTAGCCATTTAAACTTTTTCCACTTTCCTTGATGGGCCCTTGGCTGGTCCTCTATAATTCCTTTTTAAACATCAATGTTTGTACTAAAATGTTCTTCCTGTCATAATTTCTGGACATTAAGATCTAAAGAGAAGCATCACCTCCTGGTCAGACCCTGTAATTCTGTGAAAGGGTGGAGTCAGAGTAAACAAATATGCAAGAGGGGGTAACTCCAGTGGCTGCTACTGTATTCCTGTTTGATGCAAGCCAACAGAATAAAGTTGCTGGTAGCCATACATTTAAAGGCTTGTGAAATTTTCAGATTGCAGAAAAGGTCATTTACTTGCTGCAAATTGTGGGAATGTTGGAATTGTATCCCTGTATGTGCTCCTCCACAGCTGTGAGGATTAAAGCTTATATCTGTTATGTGTTTGTTGTCCAGTAGATGTGGAACACACAAAGACATCTTATTCCTCTGGATACAGAAATGGTGGGTAACCCTTTGAAAGGGTGCCCAAGAAAGCTGCAGAGTAAAGGCAAATAACATAGTCTTTAGAAGATATGATGCAGTAATGGTCCCTTGACTCCCTTTTTCTTTCTTTATATATTTTCATTATTTGTGTCCAAGGGAGAGGCCACCTTAACTTTTAAATATTTTTTTTCCCTAAATAATGACTTGTCAAAATGGAAACTCATAAATCATAAAAGCTTAGGATGGCAAATGGCTCTGAAAGAGCACAGATTGCAGTTACTAATCAGTTCATATGGTAACTCAGGCATAGAAAATAACTATTGAAAGAGTCTCTAAATGATTTCCACATCAATAGTTGTTTTCTGATGATTTTATAAAAGTGCATTAAATTGATGAATAAATGAAAGAGAAAATGTTTCCCCAGGCAATTATAACATAGGTGCTTTCTTCTATTTTCCATTCTTCTTGTTTTTAAATAAATTTATTCTATCCAGTGGTCTTCATTTGGATTCAGTTATTTGGTTATAGTAAATCAGTAAAAGGTTTTTTACAACTCAACTCAACATCTTCATTTTAAAAGACAATAAATTGTGTTTATTTCTCTCCAGAAACAAAAAAAAAAAATGCAATAAAATCTTCAATTAGAATTTTAGAAAGCAATGCCATAATTTATGGGAAATTTGTCAAGCTATAACTTGGTTTGGATATGAGAAAAAAAAGGGCACTGCTAAGGCTAATGTTTAACTAGCAGTTGCATCAGTACTTAAAGAGGAAATAGATACATTTAAATAAACGTTAAAAATATAAAGTAGTCTGTGTTGGAGTTTGAGGTGCATTTGTGGCGATTTTTTTGTCATCCATATTTAAAAACAGTTGCATTTGTTCTCCGTTTAATGAGTCGATGGCAGCAGGGACTCAAAGTGGCCAAGTACATGCAAGATAGCACAGTTCCTTCAATTGATTTCACAAGATGTAAAATCATCATTCAAACTACCGACTTTTTTTTCTTCCAGTATTTAACGACACTAGTGGCTCGTTTTTTTATGAACAGTAGGCTGACAGGAAAGGGGGATGAGAGAGGGGGAGAGAACCATAGGCCGGATTCAAATCCGCACCAAGGACTGAGGCCCCCATACATGGGTCGTGTGCGCTAACAACTACGCCACCAAAGCACGCCCAACTGTTGTTGTTTTTTTTTTTTAACAGGAAATGACCCTGGAACCTTACAAAACATGGTAGGACAATAAACAATGATTAGAGATGACTGTAACATTACACTTACATTGCCACTAAAAATGTAATTTTCAAAATTTGAAGAAAAAGCTTTTGATGGCACTATAGCAATCAAATGTGTATCACATTAATGAACAATCTTCTTGCATATTCCCAATACAATTTTTCAACATTTCATCTGTTATCATAAACTCTAATCTTCAAGCTTAAAAGGACTTATATCCATCACCCTAATCTCCAGATCGCTCTACAACTTCTCTTTGAAATCGAGTTTTTATTCTGGGAACAGCTTGGTGTTCTGCTGTTGTACCATTCTATATGCTGCCTGGACAACTTGCAGCACATTCTCATCCCAACTCATCAAATATTTACTTGATCAAGCCCCCTGTGTGTCACATACTGATGCTGCGGGGGTACCCCTAGTGCTACGTATTGACAAACAGCGTGCATGACAGGATGCAAGTGACCTGCGACAAAAAATTTGGCTTATTTCAGATTGTTCAGATTGAAGATTATGTAATATTTTGCAAGTTCCTTCCTCAACCTACCATACACCTAGCATGTCAGTGAATGATGAGAAGGGTAAACGCGTTGTGTCAGTATCTGACCCTCTGAGGGCGTTACTATGTGTCAATTTTTAATGAGCTGGGAGTGAGACTGCCTTTGCCTGGGATGCAGCATGAAGAACAGAGGAGAGCATGCTGGTCCTGATACTCTACAAACTTGGTATATCTGCATTGCTTTGCTCCTAGATCATTAACTTCCTCACTAACAGGGTCCAGGTGCTGAGATTCCCATCTACCCATCTGATCCTCAACACTGGCATCCCACAGGGATTTGTTTTCAGGCCTTCCTTCTTCGCTTTCTTTACACGTTATTTTTCTGCATGGAGGATTCTCCTATGTCTTATATATCTGACCTTTCTGTAATATTTTTTTCCTTTTATGTTTGTGATGTAATATTCTACTTAATGTTGTGTTTTCATTAGCTTTTACTACAAAATCATCACAATGAAAAGAAATAAACACCTGAAAATGTCTGTTTTTAGTTAGTCTATATGTCGTTTGATACTTTGCTTACAGACTTACTGAAATTATTTAACTTTTAAATTCGAATTTAAATTACTCAATATCACTTTATGCAAAGAAACTACACAAAAAAGAGATGCTGACAACATGGCATAATAACCAAAGAGAAATTTAATTATTAGAGCATTTCATACGTAATATGCTTTTTTAAATGTACATTTCAGACATAATCTTTGAGAAAGAGTATTTCTGCCCTTAAGTTTCAAACCTTGAGCTGTACACCCAAAGCAAAGGCTAAATGTTGACAGCTGCATTCTTTTCTTTTTTTTTAAGTCAAGAAACTACAGTACAAATCAAGCCTGGAAGCAGATTGCTTTGACTATGACACATTAAAAATCTGATTAAGTTCAGGGCTTCATGTTACCAGAATATTTTCATATTTTTTTACTGATAAAGTAGTAAAGAGACATGGGATCTCCTCTGACAGCCTCTATTAGAAATTCCCATCCAGCCTCATGGAGAAATTTTAGTGAATACTGTTTTAGTGATATATTTGTTGGTGGCATGTCCATGATTTGTCATTTCAAAATAACTTTGTGTTACATCATTTCTATGTGGAGTAATATTGCAGCTACCAATCAAAATGTGTCTTTGCAACAACTTATCTGGGTAATAAATAAAAGCTATTAATTTCCACCCTCACAAAGAAAAAGAAATTGGAAGCTGCTAAGTTACACGTCAGGTTTTTCACTAAGAAATTGAACATAAAAGTGTAAATCATAACAGATATTTTTTTCAAAGGGACAAAGACCTGCACTTTTTAATTTCCTGTGTTCTTCTTGAACAGGGGAGGACCACACACTCCGCATCCTGCTCTACTCGCTTATCTTCTTTTCGAGTGTATTTGGCAACCTACTGATTATCGTGGTGCTCACGTTCAACAAGCGCATGCGCACTGTCACCAACACCTTCCTGTTGTCACTTGCCATGAGTGACCTGATGATGGCCATATTCTGCATGCCTTTCAACTTGATCCCCAGCATTCTCAAAGACTTCATTTTTGGGGCTTTGATGTGCAAGATAGTGGCCTATCTCATGGGTGAGTAACAAAAGCACTGGGGGAATGGGTCTACTGTTGGGGGTTAGATGGGGGAATTTCTGTGTGTTGTCTAAGTCTTTATTTTAGTCATAGGATCTGATTAAAACTCACACACCCACACATTCTGGTTTAACTGTTTAACTTCTGTCATTGCATTGACCCTGACCTACACCAACTGTGATTAATCAAATAAGCATCCATTAAATTCAATAAGAGCTGCAGAGATCCACAGCTCAAATGGGGGAACCTGATGGTGCAATGTTACAACTATTGTCTAGCAATCTGGTCTGTCCACACGAAGGTTAAAAACAAAGCAATTGTATAACCTGCATGTATTTTGCAAAACATCATATAGGAGGCAATTTTGTCCTGTTCAACTAAGAAAAAAACAAATTTTATTGACCTATAAAATAGGGTTGTCACGATACTAAACTTTTCAACTCGATACCGATACTAAGGAAAATATTCGATACTCGATACCATTTTCGATACCACAAGGATAAAAACAAAGACTCCAAAATTCAACAGAAATATTTTCATTAAAAATAAAATACAATAAATAAATAAATATAATAAACAATAAGAACAATATTTTGAGGTTGTATGCTGTGCACAATATTAAGCAAGCTTGATAAAAAACTTACAAAATTAAAATTAAGTGTTCCTTCCTTGGCTATGCTTTGCACACATAATGACACTAGCCAAACCGGTTAAGAAACAAAAATAATTAGCTGCACCTGTTACAAAAAAGTGTGAAACTGAAAAGTGCACAGAATTATTCAATTACACAGTGTTCAGAAAGTGCATTTTCCTCTGTTCTGCACTTTAGATAAATGAAGGTTTAGGTGCCACTGGTGGTAGCACTGTATCGATACTTTTTGAAAATGAGTATTGTATCCGGATACAACGTTTCAGTATCAATAGTTTTTTTGAGTATCGATACTTTTGACAACCCTACTCTAAAATAACCTCAAACCATTCATTGTTTTTCTTTGGGAAAATACAAAAAGTTAACTTGAGATAAGAGACATACAAGGTATCTTTAACTGAAGTATACACATATTTTCTCTTAAAATTCTAATTGCTTTCCTAATGGAAAATATTTATTTTTTATATAAATCTTTCTGGCCCTTAAATACATTTTCTGTGAGGGTTGATAAAGCTGAAAAATGAGTGATGCACATATGACAATCACATTCTGTTGGCAAAAGTAATGAAATAGAAAGCACACTGCAAAAACGATCTAGAAATAAGTAAAAAATTTCTTAAATTAAGTGAATTTACCCTTAATTTGAGCAGGTAAATGAGATAGTTTGCCAATGGAATGAGTATTTTTAGTCTTAAAATAAGATAATTAGGTAATATGCACTTGAAATAAGACAATGCAATTGTGTTTTCTTATTTTAAGTGTAAATTGTCTTTTTCCATTAGCAGAATGTCTCTTTTAGCTCCTCAATTCAAGAACAAATGCACTTATTTTAAGAAAAATGACTTATCTAGATTTAGATTTTTTGCAGTGCAATTATACTTTTTAATTCCCTTAAGACATTTAATCAATTACCCAAAAGCTTCTTAAATAGAGATAGACTGTCTTTACAATTACAATATAGAAGATAATCTAGAAGAGAATCTATTCAGGTCTGTTATGGTGGCTTCATATAAACTTAGAGTATTTTTAATAATCAGAGCTGTAGATTTGTCTGTTCTCCCATAAAACAAAAAATAAATTCCCTGGCCACTGCTTGTGGAGATGAGTGCTGGAACTATGCCAGGTTTGGGTCTTTTGACTAAGGCTTTGATGTATTTGGTTGTGAAAGCTTGTTACACTGACCAAAGTCAACTACTCAAAGCACAGAGTGGCTGAGTTCCAGCCATCTAGATGTGTTGGCATTAAATCTATCATTGAGAATATTCTAATAAGGCAACAGCTGGTGGTGAAGACCCATCTAAGCAGCAGAAATGTTACTGTAAATCATATTACACTACAACTTCACCTGTCACAGCAAAGCAAAGAAACGGCAGCTGTTATAGCATAAATCAACTGCATTAACACTGGGTAATGAGTGCCAACAAATACCTCCAACTATAATGTGATTAGACTGATGTAGAAAATATTACACTGTCTTCAAAATAAACAATTTAAATTATGGCTGCAAATTAATGAAATGCTGAAATTCCTCAGCACACGTTAAACTTCATAAAACTTTTATTTTTGTATCAAACAGTTAACACAAGCCATCATGTTAATAAGCACTCAATATGCCAACTACACACTGATGGTATAAATAAAAAATACATCTGGCTATGGCTTTCTATATGCACAAGGAAGCCTACATCATTTCAAGGTCATACTTTTGTCAAAGTTCCATAAACATACAGGGATCCAAACTTCAACTATTGGTGTTTAAACATATCCAAACAAACACGTTTTTTTTTTTCCTAAGTCAGACACAAAATCACAGAGAAAAAAAAAAAAATCAGTCGACATCTTGTCGCCTCTCTGGGTCAGGCCAAAAGACTTTCTCAACATCACGATGTCCTCTTTGTCCAAAGCACAAGGGAAAATATCTCCTGGAATGCTGTTTTCAGGCCTGACATGATGCCTGGCTAATATACCCACATGTGTCATTCATTGCCTGTAAAAGGGCTAAGCATTGATGGGGACGATGGTCAAAGACCTTTCAGCGCCAGGTAGAGAAGAACTCTTTGATTGAATTCAAGAATGGAGAATGTGGGGGGAGGTTGAGTGCAGTGAGGAGTGGGTGATCTGTAAACCAGTTGTGGACCAAAGTACCCCTATTGTTGATAATTTGGAAATTGAGTGAAAAGCAATGAGTTGTGTTTACAGTTTCACAAAAAAAAGTTGCTATGCAGTGAATTGTACCTGTGCAAAGCAGTGTTTGTGCTTCTAGTTTTGCAAACTCAGTGAGTAGTTATATAAGTAAGAGTCTATAAGTATTAATAGAAAAACAATATCACAACTTAGTTATGGTATGGTTCAGGCTATTCTACTTAATTTACCGACAACATTTTATGAAGAGATAGCATATAATCCATCCATATTCTCCCACTTATTCTGCCAGGGTCATGTTGGGGTTGGTTTCTATCTACAGCAGCCAATGAGAGTGATGCAGGGTACACCCTGGACAGGGTGCCATTTTGTCGCAGGGCAACACAGACACACGGAGAGACATACAACCATGCACAGAAACACTCACACCTTAGGACAATCCAATGTTGCCAGTTAACCTAACAGTCGTGTTTTGGATTGTGGAAGGAAGACGGAGAACCCAAAGAGAACCTGTGCATTTTGTTTGACTTAGGTTGGCATTTCCTTTAGACTAAGAAAACATGTTTCAGATATCAGGAATACATATTCAGTAAAACTAGTACATATCAAAATGTTGTTACCGTGAAAATATTACGGGATTATTTCTCGAATGGTAGAAGATCAATGTACCTATTTAGGTGAAATATTTTGGCAGCAGTGGCTGTTTGCAGCCGCCCTTCGGATATTATCATCCAAATAAATGGCCGTTATAAGAGGCTATCAGTCCCATAGAATTTTTTTTATGCACAAAACTATGACAAAAATTGTACTAAATCAGGAAATAAAACAACGCAATTGGCTGTAGGGAGAGGAGATAGAAGACACTCCGTGTTTACTGAAGAAGTAAACTCGTAGAACTGCTACTGACCAGGTTACAGTAGCTTTGGGGAGAATGTTACTATGGTGACTGAAACAGGTTGAGGAAACACTCTCTGTGAAACGGAAAAATCTGAGTTTCACTGTTTTCAGGTTAAGACAACTTCTAAAACTTCTTTCTGAAACAGACCCCAGAGAGCAAAATAAAGCCTAATAGAGACATTTTTCTAATTATCCACTGAAGCTGTTAACCTTCATTTTGAGGTGTAAACAATAAGAAGCACCTTTGGGTATTTTTTTTTTCCCTGAGCCTCCCTGCCACCACCATGGTTCCACCTCCCTATCCTAAACATAAAGCTTATATTGTCACAGAGGACATGGATAAGCGAGGTAAAGAGTAATTTCCTGTCTTGTCCTTTGAGACAGAAGATGGAAGATCATATCACCAGCAGTTCAGCAGCATGATGTTCTTCAACATGGCATTCGAATATCTACTAAATTTTTTACATTGTCACTCTCTTTCCTTCATCAGTGGCTGCACAACACTGAGCCTGGTTGTGTTGACAGATATTTCAAAATTAATAATTTTTTTTCTTCTGACTCTTTGTAAGTCTGAGCCCTATTCTTAGTCTTATATTATAGTTGTTTTATTGCCTTATGAAAAGGTGATGACATTTGATCACCTGTGGTAAAATGCTAATTTTCTCAGCTTTTTATACAACATCTTTTTTTTTCTCCAACAGGCACCTCAGTGAGCATTTCCACTTTTAACCTGGTTGCCATAGCCATTGAGCGCTACAGTGCCATCTGCAAGCCTCTGAAGTCACGGGCATGGCAGACCCGTTCCCATGCATATCGGGTGATTGCTGCTACATGGGTACTGGCCTTCATCATCATGATCCCCTACCCAATTATCAGTCACCTCAGACCATTTAAACGCCCTGATAACACCACTGCACACCAATGCCGCCACAAGTGGCCCCTTGCAACAGCGGAGCAGACCTGGTGAGTGTTATTGGTCTAAACGAGGGGTGTCAAACTCAAGTCCTCGAGGGCCGATGTCCTGCAATTTTTGGATACATCTCTAGTCTAACATACCTGAATCAAAGGATTAAATTACTTCCTTAGTATGCAGACAAATTATGCCTATCAGTCCTGCTAATGACTGTATTATTTGATTCAGGTGTGTTAAAGCAGATACATATCTAAGATGACATATTCTATTATGATCCATTATACTTAAAACAAAATGTTAACAGGCAGGCCCATTGGTCCATCTTCATGTATTTGGTTTACGATAACACAAATGGTTCCAATATTTTACTTCAATTCCAGTTACAGTGGTCCATGTTCTGTTGTGTTGAATTTGTTTAGAGGAACTGCAATAAGTATGGTAGACAAGAAACACAAAATGAGAGGGTAATTACAACACGCAGGCATGCAGGTGCATGCAGATGGGGATTTTGGCACTCCATTGGGGTTTACAATATTGGGAGAAGTAATGAGATGTAATTATAAATTATAAATGCCTATTACCACTTCAATAAAAGCAAACAACTCTTTATTAAGTGGAATTTTCTGTGTGGTTGTAGCTCTTGCAAGAGCAGCAGATGAGTTGCTTAAAATTAGATGTGTTATTTGTTTCCAATTAAGATGTAGATGACAGTTTTTATATTTGTCTACTATAAAATGGTATAAGAGTCTGTCTTTTCCTTTTCCTACTTTCTTAGTTGTTTGTCTAACTTTTAAATTTGTCTTTTGTAGGTATGTGTTACTTCTGCTTGTGCTGTTCGCAATTCCAGGAGTTGTTATGATTGTCGCTTATGGACTGATCTCTAGGGAACTTTATAGAGGCATCCAATTTGAGACCGGCCTTAAAAAAGACTCCACTGGTAATGTATTTTAATGCGCAACATATTTGTTAGAAATCTTTTAAAATGAACTGAAAAATAAATGGCTTAATGTTAAAGAAAAAAATGTAACGTTTTAGGTCAAAATGTCTGATAATAAAATCAAAATTCCAAATAGCTGAGATTCAGTAAAGTGGATATTTATTTGAAAAAACATTTAATTGTGCTTCACACACCATGTTATTCCAAGTTTAATATATAGTTTCTAAACATGATTGTTCACAAGAGGATGTAAAATGGGGGTTAAAACATTATTTTACAAAAGATAAAATGAAAATACTTTACCTTACATGCCTAAGCAAGTTTACGCCATTTGTTAAGCTACAACTTACTCAATCTCTTTTAAAAGGTTTCCTCTTAGGTTAAATTTTCTGGCAATTCAAAGTTAATACCCGTAATAAAAACAACAAACCTGTTTACAAACTGTTTTTTTGTTTTAAGAAACATATAGATAAAATTCAGATTTTCCAGAAAACCTAATAGATTATAACATATCATCTTTTTATCTATTAGATGATTTTTCCAAATGTAGTATATTTATTTCACATTAGTTAAGTACAGCTTTCTCAGAGTCTGACTTAATGTAATTATTAGTAGGAGGATACAATGGAAGACTAAGCAAAACATATAAGAGCATTTTAGTTTGGTGGATAGTTTTTTGCTTCTTTGTAATTAGACTTGTCCTGTTGTCCTCGGATAATGTAACTGCTTTCCCTATAATTTCTACAGAACATCTTTGAAGCATCGCTCCTGGTCTGGTCTGATCAATCTTCTTTTTCTTTCTGGGCTCTTCAGATCCCTCTCTTTTTCCTAAATGTTCTGCTGGTGATGTATTCCTATTCTAACCCTGAAAAATATAAAATCTTCATCCCTTGGCTGGACTGGACATTTATCCTTCATTCTGGACATCATGGACCCTACATATCCCCAAATCTTTATGAGAAACTTCTTCAAGTGATCACTAGGCTTGTATTCCTATACTAACCCTGAAAATACACACCTTCGTCCCGTGGCCAGATATAACTTCTTCTTTTTTCTTCTTGGAACTGGGCAGATTCTCTTTCTAGCTCATCATGGTCCCTGAAAAAATAACATCATTGCCCCCTGGCCAGGCTTTCGTTTCTTCTTTCTTCATTCCATCAGAGGTCTGGTTATTCGTCTTTCCCTTTGGCTATTCCTCAGGTGATGTGGTTGAGCTGGGGAGCAGGCCCCCCTGCCTGTGTTCTGTGATCAAGGATCTAAGCAGGAGTGTTGCAGCCGAGATGCAGATTTGACCAGATTGGCAAAAACATGTTCCTTTAAACCTATACATAAACAGGAATCCATCTTCTTGACCAATAGGACACTATAGTACCTTTTAGGGACTTTGAATTTCCAGGCTCATTGTCCAGGCCATGCAGGCTATATTTGGTCTGCCGGTCACCCTACAACCAGCCCAGTCTAAACATCAACCACTTCCTAATCATTCCCTTCTTATATGAACAGTCTTAACATTTAACAATCACAAATTTTACTATTATCATAATTTATTGATTATTATTTTTGTGTGTCGATATAACCAGATCTTCTTACAACCTTAGTTTGTCCTCGTTGTGCGTCCGCTTTATATGGCTGCATTTCATATTACATGTATTTCTGCTTTTTCTCAAGACCTTTATCAATTCTTAATTCTTAATACAGAAACAACAGTGCTCACAATAAGAGACATTTTACAAAATTGGTAAAAGAGAATCAATTTAGTTTTATCATAAGTATATGCAGTATTGTCAGAACAATGTAAAATCAGAATCACAGATTTTTTTTAACTAAGGTCATAGAGAAGGCCTTTACCTTTATCTGAGACTTCCTCTTTGAAAGTAACTTAAAGTAACTAAAAATTTTAAAAATCACAATTTATCCACATCACAGCACCTTGTATACACTGCCTTTCCTCTCAAGCACGTTTCAGACTCCTGATTTTTGCTACACAGGAAGCCTTGCTTTAAAGGGGATGACACATTAATATATTCTATTAACCTAAAGCAGTATGTATGGTATGTTTGTTACATGTCAGGTACGCCGGTCATTGACCTTGACCATGGCACCTTAAAGTAGAACTACAGTCAGTCCCTGGACTGGCATGGCTATCACTGCGCCTACATAGTTAGGGACTAATTTCCCCCTGGGATCAGCTTCATAGTCATGGTAGGACACTTATTTGATTTTATTTATTTTGCTCAGGCTACTCATAGGCCCACAGCCCGCTAAATGTTGAAAGGGCGATGTTACTGCCATTACTAATGATATATACTAGAAATTTTACACATTCAGTAATACAATGTCACAGGGGTTGGTGTGGGGGGATGGTCATTTAAGAAGGGGGATTATTTTTAAGATTTTTTTAAGAAGGGGGATGCCATCCCCTTTCTTGAATACTACTTCAATATTTATTTGTGGGGCAACAAAATTAGTATCATGATGGGTTCACTAAAAGCGACCCAAGAATGCAGAACACCACTGACGGACACAGGGATGAAAGTTTAACAAGTTTATTGATGCATAAGCACACAGAATGTACTGGTTCAGGTTCGGGGCCTGGATACTTGTTCACCGGAGTCTGCGTGAGAGACAGTTCGGTTTGCGTTGCCAACAGAGGTTTGATTTCCTGAAGTTTACTGATTGTACCTTGAGGGTTCTTGAGGTTAGCTTTGGGAGGGTCTCTGTTGGATCTGGAGAAGAGTTCATCAGCCGAGTCCGTTTGCTGCTTCAGCGTCTCACGTCTAATATGAACAGACCTTGGTTTAGGGTTTCCCAGCTCTAGTCCAGAGCTGCTTGGAAGTTCTCTGTGGACAGAGACAAGGGTTAGAATCCAAGCTGGATTCAAAAGTCATAGAGTAACACTGAGGATCTAGGCTTAAGCGCTGACCAACTGGAACAACACTGCGGCGTTGAGGCAAGGTCTGAAGACAGCTTAAGTAGTGGATCCTCTGATGATCTTGATGAGCTGCAGCTGAGCAGGAGGCTCCCTCAGAGGATCCACGGCGGACTCTGCTGGAGAAAGGTGGAATTTCTCCAGCTCCCAACAGTACCCCCCCCCTCAACGACCGCCCCTTGGCGGTCCGGAAGAGGTTGATGGGCAGGAACACTCGTACTCCTCGATAAGGGCAGGATCGAGGATGTACGAGCCCGGAACCCACTGGCGATCCTCCGGTCCGTAGCCCTCCCAGTCGACGAGGTACTGCCATCTGCGACCTCGTCGACGGGAGTCCACAATGCGACGGACAGTGAAGGCCGGATGACCATCGACCTCCAGGGCGGGTGGTGGGGAGTCGGACGGTGGGCACAGAGGGCTCGAAGAGACAGGCTTGACTTGGGACACTTGAAAGGTAGGGTGGATTCGGAGGGACTGAGGTAGTTGGAGACGAACGGCTGAGGGGTTGATGACTCGAGTGATCTTGTAGGGCCCGATGAACCTAGGAGAGAGCTTTCGAGACATCCCCTTGAGGGGAATGTCTCGAGTGGACAGCCATACCTCCTGGCCCTCAGTGTACTCGGGGGCGGGGCGTCTCCTGGCGTCGGCGAAACGTTTACTGGACTCTGTTGACCGGTTGAGGGTGGCGATGGTTTCTCTCCAGATTCTTTGGCAACGGCGGATGTGTTGGTTTACGGACTGGACCGAAATCTCTCTCTCGTCTTTGGGGAAAAGAGGTGGTTGATAGCCGAGACTAACCTGGAACGGGGATTGTCCGGTGGATGCAGATCTGAGGGAGTTGTGTGCGTATTCTACCCAAGGGAGAAATTGGCTCCAGTCCACGGGATTGTTTGAAGTGAGGCAGCGAAGGGTTGACTCCAACTGCTGGTTCATTCTCTCAGTCTGACCATTAGATTGGGGGTGGTAACCAGAGGTGAGAGAGGGTTTGCAGCCGAGGGCAGAACAGAAAGCCTTCCAGAGCTGGGAAATGAACTGAGGGCCTCTGTCCGAGAGGATCTCTTGGGGAATGCCGTGTAGCCGGAAAACATGCTTGATAAGGAGCTGGGCTGTCTGGAAGGCCGTGGGAAGTTTTCTAAGGGGAATAAGATGGCAGGACTTCGAGAAACGGTCAACAATGGTGAATATGGTGGACATACCTCGAGAGACAGGGAGACCGGTGACAAAATCAATGGCTATATGGGACCAAGGACGCGAGGGAACAGGAAGCGGCTGACGCAGGCCAGAAGGAGGTTGGTGTGAGGCTTTGTTACGGGCACATGTGGGGCAAGCCAACACATACTCCTTGACGTCCCTATGGAGAGTGGGCCACCAGAAGCGTCTTGAGATGAGGGCTACAGTTCTGCTGACTCCTGGATGAGCAGAGAACTTGGCGGCGTGCATCCAATGGATGAGACGGGACCTGACGGAAGATGGAACAGAGGTTCGGTTAGTGGGACCGTTACCTGGATCGGGTTCAGTGGCCAGGGCTGAGTTAATGAGGTCAGTTATTTCCCAGTTGACCACCCCCACTGTGCAGGAAGCCGGAAGAACAGGTTCAGGTGTCTCGGGATGATCGACGGAGTAGAGACGAGAGAGAGAATCGGGCTTGACATTTTTGGATCCGGGTCTGTAGGAGATGATGAGATTGAACCGAGAGAAGAAAATTGACCACCTGGATTGGCGAGGATTAGCCTGTTTGGTTGACTGGATGTAAGCCAGGTTCTTGTGGTCAGTCCATACAAGAACCGGATGCTCAGCTCCTTCCAGCCAATGTCTCCATTTTTCCAACGCCAGTTTAATGGCCAGAAGCTCTCGGTCACCCACATCGTAATTTTGCTCTGCAGAAGAAAGTCTATGGGAGAAGAAAGCACAAGGGTGTATCTTTTGATCTGAATCTAGTCTCTGGGATAGGACTGCTCCAACACCAGAATCTGAAGCATCCACCTCAAGAATAAACTGCTTCGCTGGGTCAGGTTGCATAAGCACAGGTGCTCTGGAAAACAAGGATTTTAATTTATCAAACGCTGCTTGA